CAGGGAATACCTTAGCGAAATTTACTACCGCTTCCTAGTTCGATAGAAACACGAGATTTTGTCACCCGATCAGAGTGATTGTATTTGTTTTCATGAAAATTCTGATGACATCAACTCAATTTCAGTTGTATTTGGGACACACGAGAGAAAGACGGACTAGACACTTTATTTTCTTTCTTTTTTTTTTTAAATTATCTTCTATAGTTCTAATGAATATTCCTGCTTCTAATGATTTCTAAAATTAGGAATGATCACATTATGAAGAATTTAGAAGTAGTTCACTGAGAGGAGAGGATCATTCACACGCTTTTTTAATTTATACATAAAATCCAAAATTTCTAGATTTCATTTTTAAAAAACGTCTTTTTTATTAAAACAAATTTCAACTTCATTATAGTATTTTTTTAATTAATTACTATAAATATTAAATAAGAAGTATATCGAAAAATAACTATTATTATTACAAATTTGATTTTTAAATAAATAAAGTACAAAATTAATTCTTAATTTTAAATTTAAAAAAAGTAATTTTGTAATTAAGTAATTACAAAATTAATTTTTATCAACTAATTACAAAATTGGAATATGAAAGTACAAAGGTGATTTGTAATTACCAAATTACCTTTAAACATTATGCCTTTAAATTTACAGTACAAAACTAATTTGCAATTAATTAATTGAAATTAAGTTTGTATTATTGTATGAATTAGAAATTATATTTTTATTATTGTATATCAATAAGTATGTGAGAAAAGAAGTTTGTAATTAATATAAAGTACTATATAATTAAGGTTTAATCATTAAATTCGAAGTACAAAAATAATTTGTAATTAATACATTAAACATAATTCCAAATAAATTATTAAAAAATTAGTCTTAACTATATTTCAATCACATTACAATTCATTGCAATTAATAAGTTATATAATTAACTTCAAATTAATGAAGTAAAAAAGTAATTCATAATTTTTACAAAAATAATGTTTAATTATTAAAATATAAGATTAATTTTTACACTCAAAAAAAAAACTAGTAGATTTGACTACTTTTTAACTACCCTGAGTGATTCAATAGGTCCTCAACTGAATTTAAAAATTTATATTTACTACCGAAAGTAGTAAAAAGAACTAAGAATTTAGTTGATGTAATTAGATTTTGTAGTTGTTTTTGCAATTTAACTACTTTTTTTAGTTATATAAACTATTATTCTTCAACTATATTCAAAGTAGTAAAATCAACTACACAAAAATTGTTAGTAAAACTAAAAAAGTAATTAATTTGACAACTTTCAACTCAACTAGGTAATAGTAGTTAAAGATTTCGACCGAATTTTTTTCAGTGTAATTAAAAAGTTAATTCCGAGATATTCGTGCAGAATGTCAGTAAATAACAGAAAAATGTAAAATTGTATTCGCAGAAGAATATTTAAAAGTAAGAATTCTATTAATTATTTTATATGTGTCATAATAAATGTTTCGTGGTGGGCATTTTTTTGTAACTCTTATTCTTAACGAAGTGTGCAAAATTAATATTCTTATAAATACAATCGGACGGCGTATAATTTATAGAGATAAGGTGTTTTCAAGTGAGACATAATCATGACATGAATAGTTCATTCGGAAAATTATTACAACGTATTAAAGATGATTCTGTGGTTGTAATACATGGCTCGTTAGAAATGGACTTCTGTATTTTATACGCGCGTATATAATAATTTACTTGAACAGGTTTTTCAGTCACCAGAACGTTATACACGTTTCATTCATAACATTCCAGTTTCTTCTTATTCTTCTTCTTTCTTCTTTTCTCTTCCTCTTTTCTTCACCTTCTTTTTCTTTTTTCTTTATTTCCTTCTTTCTTTCAGTCTTTCTCTTCCTGTTTTCTTCTGTTTTTCTAATTTCGTTTATTCTTTTTGTTTTTTCCTTTTCTTCTTTTTCATCTTCACTCTTTTTTATAAGAAAAAATTTATTTTTATTTAAATTATTTTTTGTTTTCTCTCTATTAAAAAAAAGAAGTTCTATTTAATAATGGATCAATTTATATACTTTTTGCCTTTCAATCAAAAAAGAAAGAAGCATCTTTTTTTTCAAATGAAGAAAAGAAACACTCTCACTGTATAAAAAGAGTAGCCTTTAGTTTATTTCTCTATGATTAAAGGTGAAGAGGAAATTTCTATATCGAAACAGTTTTTCTTCTTTTTGAAAGAAAATAAATTATTTTCTAATAAAGAATTTTTTTCTTTTTAAGAAATTTCTACTTTTCTTGTTTCTAAGCCCAAGAAGTAGTACTTTTACAGAAACGAAGCTATTTTTGTTTTGAAGAAAAAGCTTCTTCCAGAAATGAGATGTAATAACTTCTTCTTTATTTTTCTTCTATTAAAAACAATGTTTCTTTTTCTCAAGTAGTTTTTACTTTTCTGCTTTAAAAAATCCAAAATGAAATAGTTTCTTCTTTGTTAGTTGAAGGGAAAGAAGATGTTTCTCCTTCTGTCTTTATTAGAAAAAGAAAATGTATTAAGGTTTCCTTCCAGTTTTTATTTTCTGAAGAAAAAAAAGTAGACTACTTTTGTTTCAATTAATAATCTTTTTTCCTCAAAACATTTTTTTCTTCAAAAAACAAGAGGTGGTTGTTTTACACAAAAATGAAGCTATTTCTTTATTGAAGATTTACAATAAAAAACTAGTTTTTCTGAAAAAAAGGAATGAACTTTGCACTCTTATTTTTCTTGTCCATTATAGAGAAAAAAAATTTCATTTATTAAAGTATTTTTTTCTTTTCTTCTGTTAAAAAACAAAATAAAGTAGTTGTTTTCTTTGCAAGAAAAAAAGATGCTTCTTTTTTCCTTATCTAAGAAGAAGAAAAAGAAGCTTTCTTTTTATTGAAGAATATATTAATTTTCTTCTATATCAAAAAACAAAAAGAAGACTGAATGAAAAATCATTTTTTTTAAAGAAATTTTCACTGTTCTTTCTTCAAAGGACAAAATGTGTTTTATTTTTGAAAAAATAAAGCTATTTCTGTATTAAAGAAAATGATATTTTTAAAGAGTGAAATGCTGTAACATCTTAAATTATCTATTATAGAAGAAGAAATTTCCAATATGGAAGCAGTTTTTACTTTTCATTTTTCATAAAACAAAATGAAGTAGTTTTTTTCTTTGCAAAAGTAGAAGAAGAAAGGGTAAATTCTTTTCCTTTTTTCCTTTATTAAAAAAAAATATTTTTTCTTTATTGAAACATGTTAAATTATTTTTTTGTATCAAAAAGCAAAAAGAAGTAATATTCTTTTTTTAAGAAGAATTCTTTTTAAGAAGTATTTACTTTTCTTCTTTTAAAAGACAATTAAAAAGTAACGTTTTATTTTCAAAGTAGTAGTAGTGGTAGTGGTAGTGGTAGTAAAAGTATAGCAGTATTAGAAAAAAAAGAAAAAAAGAAATAGAAAAAGAAGAAGAAGAAGAAGAAGAAGAAAAAGACAAAGAAGAAGGTGAAGTAGAATTAAAAGTAAAATATAAAAGAGAGTCGAAATAGTAGAAGTAGAAGATGTAGAAAAAATAGTAGTAGCATTAGAAATTTATGTTGAAGTAGAATTATAAATATAATCTAAGATAGAAGAAAGAATAGAAGAAAAAAAAGAAGAAGCTACTTTTGTTTAAAAAAAAATAGTTTTATCTCTTCTATTGTTCTTCTCTTAAAAAGGAACAAAATCACTCCACTAAAATACAAAAATAGTGAAAAATAATAACCAACCTTATAAATTTCCATAAAATTCACATTAATCTGAATTAAATTTGAAATTGACAAAAAAAAAGAAAAAAAAATTAATGAATGGTTTTTATTTTTGTCATTACTACTAAATTGTACAATGAATCATTCACGAATATCATCCAAGTGTAGCGAGGACGTTCCGGTTTTTGAAAGAGGCCGACGAGCGACCTTTCGAAATTTTTTTCTTCTTTTCTTTCTTTCTTTCTTTCTTTTTTTTTGCTCGTACATATTGAAACCGAAAAAAATAAGGTTCCTGTGAAAGTTGCCTCGTGGCAACAAACACACGGTCCATCTTTTTCTCTCTAGACATTTATACAATCACACTCACACAAACACACAAATCAGGATGGAATCAACAACCGCTTGTAATGTCTTCTATACAACTACGCATAAGTCGTTTGTTACATCTTCGAATGTTTTCTATTTCGTACATATAAGTGAAAACGTTTCGTTTGAAAAATCACGCGGAAGCAAAAGTAAGAAGCATGGGGATTAAATTAGCTTATCTTTTTAATATCCATGGCCCCTCGTTAAAACGTCATTCTTGGAAAATCGCTTTCGCTACTCACTCGAGCCTGATGTACCAACCAATAACAACAAGAAGAAGATGAAGAAGATGATGATTATGATTGACCAACGTTGACCCCGTAAGGCATCTCTAAATATATAATAAAAAACGATTCCTCCAAACTTTCCCCGAAGCTCATTAAAATGATGATTTTATTTTTCAATAAATATTCAAAACTCCATTTCTATTTAGCATCGATAGAATATTTCGAAATTTACTTTTATTCCCTCATTCAAATTTTTATATTTTCCATTTCAAGAGAAAAAATTTATATTCTCCTTTTCTCATCTACAAGTATAAGAAAAAAAGACGACAAAAAAAAATTTGTCATTATTGATGGCAAAAAAGGAATCATGTTCTCACTTCACTACTTTAACGCCTCTCTGTTAAAGAGAACATAGTGAAAGTTCTTCCCCACGATCATCAAATGCGGAAGATACCATCTGCTTGAACTCACGAGGTCAAATTTCCCCGCAAAATTACATTCAGCTTCATTTGAATAAAACAAATTTTCAATATTCTCCATGGATTTATTTACATTTATAAAGAATCAAAATTTGTACCTAAACTTGCAGCAACATATTTAAGACATTGCTGTAAGTTTATAATAGGAAGGAGAGAGGAAGGAAGAGGGATTTTTTTTTTGTAAATAAATGAAAAAATAGCAATTTCTATGTAAAAAAATCACATAAAAAAAGAGCTTTATTTCGCCACCGTTTTCTTGCAAAAAATATATATATATGTATAGGTATAAAAAAAAAACTCCGTATCGTCGCAACATCATCAGCATCATTATCAATAAAAATAATAATAATAATCATCATCAAATTATTAACATAATCATCATAATCATCAAGTAGCATCGTCGTGCGTTCGCTCATACTATAGTACAGTCGTATTAAAGTAGAAAGACGTAGATCTTTTCGGATCGTCATTATTTTACAGAAAATTCTCTCGTCACATGTACGTGTGCTTGTGCGTGTGTGTGCGTACGTGTGAATTGTGAGGTGATTGTGACAGTGACCGGAGAAGGATAGAGGGCAAGTGATAATTGACTAGTAGGGGCCGGATGCACCGGGTGGTCCATAACTTCCGCTTGGTCCGCTTGGTCCAGTTCCACCGATACCACTGCTTCCATGTCCATCGCCAATGCCTCCAATACCAGAGCCACCTCCAATACCAGAACCACCGCCAATACCCGATCCACCACCAATTCCTGAGCCACCTCCAATTCCGCCGATACCACCTCCAATTCCTGATCCGCCACCAGAGACTTCCTTCTGTAAAAATTCATTTCAATTTTCGGTTAAGTTTCGGTTTTTGGATAATTTTGTTTGGTTATTAATTCTTTTGGCTGTTTTCGGCACCCGAGTTAAAGATGATCTAATCATCAATAACATTGGCGAGTGCCGAAAACAGCCTTTGTGAAAAGGAATTTTGTTTTTATTCCTTGGCTTCTAGACACTTTAAAGGCTGTTTTCGGATGTTAACTCTAAGTTAATTGTGGTTGGCTAGGTTTAACAGAATTTTATATATGACTGGACCATCGTTAACTTGAGGTTATCCCCGAGCCTTAGATTCTAGATGCTAGTAAAAACTAATTCGTTTTAGGTTCGTCCTCTGCCTACGCTGACCTAGTTATCCGAATTTGGCCTACTTGTTTTTCCCCTATTTTTATTTCACGATCAAATTTTTCCTAATCTTTGCATAACCATTTTTGAGTAACAAACTTTGAGCAACATTCTTTAAGTAATCATTTCTGCGATAAAAATCTTTGAATGACAATCTTTGAGTTCGAAAAATCACAAAGTTTCTTTATTCTTAAAAAATCTGTTAGGAATTTAAGAATAATTTGGTAGAGTAATTAAATGAAATCGGTAGTTGATGCTTCTATAAATTTTCCTCTTTATCGACACGAACGAATTCCAGAGTTAGAACGATGCGCACAAGCAGAAAATTGTTGCGCGCGCATCGTTATAACAATGGATTTCGTTAGTATTTGCAACACTAGCGCTTCGGCGGAGAAAGTGTTGCAACTCAGGTGGGAGACGACATTTTGAATATCTCGGTCTTTAGGTTTTCTGGAAACTGAAACATTCTTATGATTCTCAGTGCTACAAATTCTACCGATTGGAAGATGAAACGAAATTTTTAATAATTACGTCTGTAATTCGTGAAGAAAGGTTTCAATTTTTTTACTAAAGAAATACTTCTTCTAGAGAAAACTTTCTTATTCGAAAGAGTCAATTTCTGATCCTAAAGTTTATTTACCTCGGGGTCAGATGAAGTAGGTGATAAAGTATGTTTTAAAGTAGGTTTTAAATTAGATAATAAAATAGGTAATGAAGTAGATATTAAAATAGATAATAAAATAAGGAATAAAATAAAGAGATAAAATAGATAATGAAATAAACAATAAAATGGATAAATTGTGCAATAAAATCGATAAAAATTTGTAACGAAATAACTAATATTTCAAATAGGGTAATTGGGTAATTGGAAATCCTAGGAAACAGTAGGAAGTTTCTTACTGCAATTAAATCAGCCTTATGCGACTAATTCCAGTAGCAAAGCTAAACAATACTGTAAAGAATTTAGAAGACTCTTTGGAGTATCAGAAAAGTCACTTCAAAATTACTATTTTGTTGTAATCTGATTCCTAGATTCTGATTGTAGAAACTTAAACCAAGGCTGTATCTTGCTTTTATCCTTTACTGTCTCACGCGTCAAGAACTTTGACTCTAGAATTATTTCTGTGATGGATCTTTTACTTCCAACCAAATCGGAGTTTTCGCGACTTTATTAGAACAAAATTGGGTCATCTGCTAATAATTTCTGAACGTTCTGCACTGGCTCTTCCTTTACAAACAAAAATTGCGGTTTTCCTGACTTTATTGGGTGACAACATTGGGTTTTCTACTGTAATTGCTAAACAAATCGGAGCTCGTGTTCAGTCGTGAGTTTATTTGGAAAAAATTTGGTCTTCTAATTTTATTTCTGAACGTTCTGCATTAGCTCTTCCTTTACAAATCGAAATAGAATTTGTCGTGAGTTTATTAGAAATAAATTGGGTCTTCTGATATAATTTCTGAACGTTCTGCATTAGCTCTTCCTTTACAAACCGAAATCGGGTTTTTCAGGAATTTATTAGAACAAATTTTGGCTTCTGATATAGTTTCGAAAGTTTCTGCATTGGCTCTTCCTCTACATACCGAAATCGGGTTTTTTGAGACTATTAAAACAAAATTGGGGTTTCTGCTTTAATTTCCGTACAAACCGGAACTTTGCTTCGTTGTGCATTAGCTTTTTCTTTATAAACCGATATCTAGTTCTTCGTGAATTCATTAAAACAAAATTGGGTCTTCTTCTACAGATTCGGAAGATTCTGCATCGAATCTTTCTCTACATATAAAAATCTGTTTTTTCGTGAATTTATTAGAACAAAATTGGGTTTTCTGAACAAACCGGAACTCTGGTTCGTTCTGCATCAACTCTTCAACTCTACAAACCGAAATCGAATTTGTTGTGAGTTTATTAGACAAAAAATTGGGTCTTCTACTTAAATTTCTGAATGTTCTGCATTGGCTCTTCTTTTACAAACTTTTTCCTGAATTTATTAGAACAAAATTGGGTTTTCTGAACAAACCGGAACTCTGATTCGTTATGTATCAGCTCTTCCTCTACAAACTGAAATCGAATTTGTTGTGAGTTTATTAGACAAAAAATTGGGTCTTGTACTTTAATTTCTGAACGTTCTGCACTGGCTATTCTTTTAGAAACCAAAATCTGGTTTTTCATGACTACTAAAACAAAATTAGAACTACTGCTTTAATTTCTAAGGGAACCTAAACTCCGTTACATTCGAAAGTGTCAAGAAAAAGATAAAGTCCATGGGGAAATCTGGAAATCATTCCAGAAGAATACTACCACTAAAATCGCTTAGTTGTGGCTAAACAATAAACAATGCTATCGTATTTTTAGCTCTACTTATGCATCCAGAACGAATCGATCTACTTCTTCGATGCAAAAATTAACAAACCAGCTAAACGACATCTAATCCATTCGACAAACACAATCCACTTTTTTTGACAAAAGAATGATTTTACAGTCTTTCTAAAGATATCAAAATTGAGACAAAAAAAAGTATCGAAAGTGTTGCGAGGCAACAGTTTCGATACTTTTTTTTTTGTCTCAATTTTGATATCTTCAGAAAACCAGTGTTTGAAGATCGACTTCCTTGTCCCCCAGTGAAAAGAATAAATCATCTCACCTGTGTCTTGTACTTGATGAAGTAAACCTCGGGTTTGCTGGGCTGAGTGGGTGTGATCGTTGGCAAATTGATTTCTGGCGCCTCCTCGGGTTTCTTGACAAGAACGTAGATGAGGGTCTTTTGCTCGTCCTGTTGGAAGGCTGGGATCACTGGTGCAGTTGGGGTTGGTGGAGTGGGTGCCTTGATGAAGATGATTTTGTAGTGTTTCTGCGATGGCGCTTGTGGGGAAATTGGTCTAATTGGTCTGTCCTCGGGTGCCTCTGGTGGCGGTACGTGGACGTAGATGTGCTTCTGAATGAGGGAACCACCTCCGAAGCCACCTCCAAACGATCCACCGCTACCACCGCCGAAAGATCCACCGCCACCACCTCCGAATGAACTTCCACTGCTGCCTCCAAAACCGCCTCCACTCAGGCCACTTCCACCTCCAAATCCACTGCCACCTCCGAAGCCACTTCCACCGAGTCCACTTCCTCCACTAAAGCCACCTCCATGACCTCCGCTCAATCCTCCCAATCCACCTCCATGACCTCCGCTCAATCCTCCTAATCCACCTCCAAGTCCTCCCAAACCACCTCCAAATCCGCCGCCGCCGCCACCACCACCGCCTCCTGGCGCTCCATAACTTCCACTTGGCTGCGAGTAGGAATAGCCGCCTGGCGCTTCCGGTCGCGCCATCGCCACCGTGGCGAGCGCTAATATCTGTAAGGACATTAATTATTCAATTATTTATTTCATTTATTTATTAAATAAAAAAAATTTTTTTTCTTTTTTATTTAAATATTAATTTTTTTTCTCACATAGTTTTTAAAGAATGTCAAATTGAGACAAAAAAACGTATCAAAACGTTGCTTCGCAACTCTTTTGATACGTTTTTTTGTCTCAATTTGATATCCTTAGAAAAACTGTGCAACTTACAGCATTTTACTTTGATTTTTTTCGAATATGATAATTTTTCAACACCTTTTTCACAAACTGTACATTTCGAGGTATTTTTTCGGAATATTTTGATTTAAAAATAGAAAATTTGGCTTTTTTTCGATTCACAGTATTTTTGATTGATTTTTTTTTTTAAATGGAATTATTACTTTAAAACTTCTTATTTATAAATTCAGAGGAAATATTCTTTGTATTTTCGAAATGAAAAAATTGATATTAATTAATTTTCTTCGATTTATAATAATTTTTATTCAAACTATTTTCCAAATCGAAAAATTAAAAAATTTTCTCCTTTTCGTATTAATTTTCATTCATTACTCTCGTAATGAATGAAAATTAATACGAAAAGGAGAATTTTTCTTACTTCAAAATTAAAAATTTTTTACTCGCGTGTAAAGAAAATTTATTTTGCAAATTTCATTTTTTGGATAAAAGTAATTTTCTTTCTTTCGTAAGAATACTAAGTAGCTTTTGGTTTTACTTTCAATTTAATTTTCAATTTCAAATGCAATTAAAATTTAATTTCAAGCCACAATTTAATTTGTTATGTCACAAAATTAATTTCACATTGATGGGTAAAAATCCAATCTTTTATTTTTTAATCAAAAATAAATGAAAATCCGATCTTTTTTTAAATAAAAATAAATAAAAACCCAATCTGTTTTTAAAATTGAAAATGAATATAGGAAAATTGAATTTTTTACCAAATTTCGTTGTTTTACTTTCGGTTTTTTTTCAATTTTCATTCAAATTAAATTTCAAAAGTCACAATTTAATTTGTTTCTTGACCCAATGATGCTCTAACGCGGTGGTAAAAATGAGATCTTTTCCCTTTATTTTATTTATTTACTTACAAACGTAACTTTTAACTAAATAATAAGAAAAATCGATTTTTTCAAAATTGAAATATTGTGTACAATAAATTTTATTATTATTAGAAATAAATGATTATTACACTGATAAAAAATTATTTGATTTAAATAACTGATTACTAAGTCTATTATCAAATAAATATTTACTTGAATTAAATAATTTTTATTTAAGTCAATTAAGTCGTATTTGATTCAAATACTGAAATTATTGCTTCAAATACAATTTATTTGAATCAAGTAAATATTTACTTAATAATAGACAAGTAATCGGTTATTTGAAAAAAAACAAATTTTCAGTGTGGAAATTATTATTTATTTTAATTTATATTTATTTTTGAACTATTTTTTTGAAAACTTTACATTTGGAGCAACTATTTTCGAAATAATTTTCAAAATGGGAAAATTTCTATTCATATCGACAGGCGGAAATTAATTATTTCCTTTTTAAAATTTTCTTTTAATTTCAAGCCACAATTTAATTTATCTATTTTTTATTTTCAATTTAAAAATTAAATTAATTATAGAAAATTTATTAATCAAATGAAATTTATTTATTTCAATAACATTTATTCTTCATGATAATATTTATTTATCTCATAATAAAATTTATTATAATAAATGAATTAATTTCTAATTAATTTTAACACAATGACACACGACTCGGTAAAAATTAGATCTCTTTATTTTAATTGAAACTCGATAAAACCGATTGTTTTTTAAAATAAAAATATTTTATAATTTAAAGCAAAAAAAAATTTTAGTTTTTTTTTATGAAACTTTTCTTCATGTCTTCAAAATAAAAAAATTTCTAATCTTATCGGCAGAAAAATAGATTATTTTGCAAATTTTCAATTTCGAATAAAATATTTTTTAGTTCACGTAAAAAAATCCGTTTTTATTTAAACTTTCCTTTTTAAATTTCAAGCCACAATTTAGTTCATCTTTTAGCACATAATTAATTTCACAAGACGGTAAAAATAATAGATGTTTTCCTTTAAATTAAAAACGATTAAAATAGATTATTTTGGAAAATAGAAACGTTTTAGTACAAAATTTATTCGTTATTTTTTTCATATAATTTTTTATATTTTGATGAAATTTATAAATTTTGATTAATATTTTGATAAAATTTTTACATTTTGGTACAATCTTTATGATAAAATTTTAAATATAATAATATAATGTTAATTTTTTCCGGCAAAAATATAGGAAACATTTTTGTATTTCAATATAATTATTGTCAACAAAAAAAAAAAAAACTCCCGCGTAATAATTCACTTGTTTATACTACACAAAATTATCCAAGTAGTAATTTTCACATTTCTCTCAAAAGAAAATAAATTTTTTTCTCATTTCGTTTAAATTGTAACACATTTATTTAAATCACACAATTTTTTTTCTTTCCTCAAAAATTGTCAATGAACCGTAGTTTTCTTTTTTAATCACCAAAAAATCACCGCGAGCACACATTTTTGTTTGAATACAAAAAGAACCGGTTAGCACGAGACCGAGAAATGAATTAGCACAATTATTATTTATTTATGATAATTTTTTTTGGAATTAAAAATAATAAAGAAACACAGATTTATTTTTCTCCTCTTGTGGCTTGAAATCCTCTCTCGACATTTGTGAAAAAGGTGTTTGTTGTTCTGGATTTTTGAAGATTCGATAGATGAGTGGATTTGACAAGAGGAAGAATTTTACGAGAGGAAGAGAAGGTATTTATTTTCACTTGTTGATGGAGAAAAGGAAAGGTAAGGAATGGAAAGGAAAGGAAAGGAAAAAGAATGTACGTGCGAGAGTTTATTTTTTGAGGGAAAGGAGGAAGGATGTTTACTTACCACGAATGCCCTCATGGTTGCTGCTGTTCCTTGATTTGAGGACTGATGCTCAGTGGATGACTTGAGGCCCCCTTTTATACGGGCCAGCACTGGCCCCACTCAACTCGACCCATCACCTATGAGATGCGACCGTTGCTATTGCAATTCTCTCCTTCTTACGATATCTCCAGTCAAATTTGTTTCTTTGCACCCCCTTTTACCTTGTTTTACCTTCACCACATGTTTATGTGCATAAAAGTCTTCTATAACATTTACCCTCGAGCCATTAGAGAAACCCTTCTTTCTTCCTCTTCCTCTTCTTCATTTTCTTCTTTTCCTTCTTTTCCTTCTTTTTCTTCTATTACCTCACTTTTATCACTTATTCATTCACCGCATCAAATTCTACTCTCAATATACTGAGAAACAAAGATTAATTCACCATTTTTTTTATTTTAATTATTTATTCACAACCACAATAAATAAATATACATTTGTCTATCTATCTTGTTACAAATCAATTGTATTTAATTTAAATTTTAGGGTTAAAAAATTATTTCATTATTTATTTTATTATTTGTTTATATTCACTAAATAAATAAATACCAATTTTTATAAGCTATAATTAATTAAGGGGAGACTGCGACGTATTTTCAGCTATGCGAAGACATTAACTTAAAAAACCACCAAAACAGTTAGTTCTTATAGTAATTTTTCGCGAGGAATTCAATTGTCATAAAATAAATTAGGTCAAAAATTTTTATTTTTCGTAAAAAATTAAATATTTTAAAACCCATTCGTAAATTTGGAGAAAATATGTTGATTTATCTAAAAACAATTTACCTACACCTTTAAAAATTTTAATATTTACTATTTTTGAAGCATTTTTTCGGAAAATAATTCATTTTTTTAATGTAGATAAAACAGTGAATTATCTTATTACATAAAACTTCTATCTGTCGTGAAAAATATAAATATTCTTTAAATTTCAAAAATAACTTAACAAATTTAAATGATTTTTATTACTTAAATTTACAATTTTAATTACAAAAATCACCTTTTATTCGATTACCATATTTGATAAAAAATGAATTTTTTTCCGAAAAAAATGCTTCAAAAAAAGTAAATATTAAAATTTTGAGAGGTACAAATTTTTTTTTAGATAAATAAACATATTTTCTACAAATTTACGTATGGGTTTTAAAATATTTAATTTTTTACGAAAAATACAAATTTTTAAAGATAAAATTCTTTGACCACTTGGTCAAAAAATTGTTTGACTCAATTTATTTTATGACCATTGAATTGCTAGTAAAAAATTCCTATAAGAACTATTTTGGTGGAATAAATAATATAGAATTTTATTTATTTATTGCACTAAAAAAGAAAAATTTATTTGCTTCAATTAACCGATTAATTGTCTAATCAATTTGAATAGTTCATTTGAATCAAATAATCTTTATTTTATTATCTTTTTAAATGATATTTGCTTCAAATACTGAAATTATTGGTTCAACGACAATTTATTTGATTTGAATAAAAATTATTGGATTCAAGTAAATATTTATTTTGCAATAGACAATAATTACACTGAAAAAAGAATTTATTTGATTCAAATAACTGATTAATTGACAATTATTTATCAATTAAATATTTACTTGAATCAAATAATATTTATTGGAGTCAATGAAATGGTATTTGCTTCAAATACTGTAATTATTGGTTCAAATACCATTTAATTGTCTTCAATAAATATTATTTGATTCAATTAAATATTTAATTGATAATAGTCAATTAATCGGTTATTTGAATTACACACATTTTTTTCTGAGTTATCATTCATTAATTTTATAAAATTTATTTGAAAAAATAATTTTATTTGTATAGCAAATAAATTTTATAATTTTAAATATAATTAATAAATTAATTTATTAGATTTTTCCGTCAAACAAGATGTGGGAGAAGAAATTACACTTGCTGCAGGATATTTTGGATCAGTGGTTATATAATATAATAAATTAATTTTATAAATTTTTTTTGAAAGAACAGTTTGTTTATGCCAAATAAATTATTTATCTGATAAAAAAAAAATTTATTTATTACAAATAAATTTTACAAATTTAAGTATAGTATTAATCAATAGTAGAATAATATATAGAATATAATAATATAATTAATTAATTTTACATATTTTAGATGTAAAAAAGTATTCTATTTATGCGAAATAAATTTTTCATTTTTGCCAAAAACGATTTTATTGGTTTTAAAATAGATATTTTGGGATAATAAACAATTTATTTATTAATGTATATGTAAATCGTTAATTATAGTAATAATATATAATGAATTGGTTTTATCAATTTTATTTGAAAAAAAAACAAAATTATCTTTGTGTCAAATACATTTTTTATTTCTTTTTACATTTTTTTTTAAATACAACTTTTTTCTTGTAAAGTAAATGAATACTATTTGAAAGAAAAAATTATTTATTTGAAAGAAATTTTTGATTATTGATTCGAATATTGATATTTGATTAATATTTGATTATTTAATTCAAATAAAAGATTTCTCTGAGTGTATAAACAAATTTTTTTGGTTTCACCCAGATAGCACGTTATCTTGCAGCAAGCTTGTCGTGTAATATTGCTGCAATATTGTGATAAGATTGCATGCCGCAAGATTGCTGCAAAAATTTTATTATATTAAATTTTTATATTATATAATATCATAAAATAAAATTTTTAGCATATCAATCTTACATGCCAAATAATTTATGGGTGGAACATTTGAAGTTTGCAGCAATCTTGCCACAAGCCTGCTGCAAGAATTCGTGCTATCTGGGCACTGAAATAAAAATTTATCATAATATTTCAAATCTTCTTGAAATATCAAAAAATTTATATTATTTTATTATTTATCTTGAAAAAGTGACTTTTTCCAAAATAAGGAATCACTTTGCTTGCGTTAATCAAACGTTTCGTTGAAAGACACAAATATTTGGTTTCTGTGAGTGATTTTGTTCTTTTTAATAAATTGAGTGAATGAAGAAATCATTTCAACAAAGAACAATTACTTTTGGAATTAATCAAACGTTTAGTTAAATAGGCCAAATAATAATTGGTTTATTTTAATAAAATGAGAAAAAAAATATATTTTTAAATTAACCATTTAAAAATCGCAAGAAAAAAAATTGGTTTACATATTTTAATAAATTTTGGGATTTGAAAAAAATTATTATTCTTCTATAATTATCCAAATGTTTTGTTGAAAGAACCAAAAGTTTCGTTGGCTTTAATAAATATTTTGAAAAAGAAACCATATTTTTGAATTAATTAAACGTTTAACACTAGAGGCATTTCACGTCAGAAATGTCACGATTTGCAAAGGGTATGCCGATTTTCGCAAAACTTTGTGGGATTATAGTTCTGTATAAAAGACTTCTTTCCCACAAATTTTTTCAAAAAAAATTCAAAATTGTTGAAGATACGCCATTTTGAATTTTAATATATTAATTTTGAAAATTTTGAATATCTCGGAATATTGTTTATGGATTTTTATGAAATTTACACATTTTTCAGGTTAAAGTATGTACTTTAAAATGCAAATAAAGTTAATAAAAAAAAATTAATTTTTAAATAAAAAAATTTAAAAAAATTTTTTAAACAATTTTTTGTTTATTTACTCTTCTCTGAGAAAAATGTTATTAACATATTTGGATTCCTTATGAATTCACCTTTAATTTCATAAAAAAAAATTGATGGAGACTCAACTGGTTCCGGAGATATTGAATTTTTTGTAAAAAAAAAGCGTCGCCGCGCCATAGCACCATACTGCACAAGTCGCGTAGTTGTGAATTTTTCGAATCAATGGACGATTTTTTTTATTAATCAAATGTTTAGCTAAAGGGACCAAATGTTTAGTTTTGCTTTGAACAAAAAATTTGAATCAATGAAGCTAAAGTTTTATGAAATATGTAGACACATAAATATTTGACTTTATAAACCAAAAATTTATAGTTAAAAAAAAATCTTTTTTTAATAAAATTAAAAAATATTTGATTCAATGAACCAAATATTCGGTCAAAAACAATTGATTGATTGAATCAAAAATTCGGTGAAAAAAATTATTTGATTGAATGAACCAAACGTTCAGTTAAAGAAATTATTTGTTTGAAAGAACCAAATGTTTATTTATTTATTTATTCACTTATAAACGGTTAGTGCAACTGTTCAGTTGAAAAAGTTATTTGATTAAATGAATCAAATTTTCAGTTAAAAAAAAATATTTCATTGAATGAATCAAATATTTAGTTAAAAAAGAGATTTTATTGAATGAACGAAATGTTTCGTTTACTGAAATAACTTTTGGCTTTTGTCTAAATTTAAAAAATTTATTCCCACGATTTATTATAGAGCATTTAAAATTATTATAAATACATAATTTATTTTTACTTTTTATAACTTGTTTAGGAAGAAATAGTTTTTTTCTCACTCATTATGGCAAATAAGTATTCTTCATTTCATTACATATTAGTTATTTTATTTATTATTTTTCGCATGTTAATTATATACACTGAGAGAAAAGTGTTTAATAAATTTTTCTAAAAAGAGCTTTACGATTTAGGGAGAAAGTGTCAAAAAGCGAAATTTTCATACTATTCTAATTTCTTACACTGGAAAATGCGTGTGATACTTAAATTTTATATTCATTGTGTATTTCTAAAATGGTCAAATAGATTTAATATTTATCATCTTTAATAAAAAAATAATTAAAATTAATTTAACACATTTTTTTATAATAATTAAAAAAATTTCAGACACAAATTTTTAATTGAAATTTAAAGTTTGTTTTTAATTGAAAAAATTTAAACAATTTAAAAAAGTTAAAAAGTTAAAAACGTTGTTAAAAAAGTCTTTTTAAAGTTTATAAAAAAGTTAGTAGATCAAAAAGTTTAAGTAAAAAAAAAATTATTGGTAAAATTAAATTAAAAAAAAATTCCTAAAAGAAAATTAACAACTTGGCAAAAAATTTAAAAAATTCGAGAAATTAAAGAAATTTTTTTCGGGCGGGGTATAAAACTTCAGTAAAACCTAATTAGGAAAATTTTGAAAAGATAACATGACATTAGATTTATT